TGTTTTTTTTTAGTCTTTTTAAATTGCCAGAGGTGGAAAAAAGAGAAAGGAAGAAAGTAGCACAAAAAAACACTGGCTGTTTTCACTCCAAGTTGCCATCAATAAGTACATCCCTGTCTGTATTTACAAACCCTATTTTTCAGCTAGTAAAAATATGAGTACAGAAGCAATAAAAGAATGAAAAGAAAGTTGATGGTAGATGATGGAGGAATGATGGAGAGGACCTATTTATAATACTCCTACAAATCCTACCCTATCTAAGGTATAATTACAATTATTATAAAAGTAGGATTCCTTCTAAAATATGGTCTTCTTTATTTCTCCTTGCTTGACTTGATAAGACTTGAGTCATCTTGAATTAGGACATTTGACAGCATTCCTTGCAACACTTTCTCCTTTTTAATGAGAGAGACTTGGCTTCTTTTTAATTAATCTCCAATCTTCATCTTCTTGCCCTTTTTAGCACACTTTCTCCTATTTCAGAATTCCTTCACACATGTCACAAAATCAATTAAAACAACCAATTTAATCCAATGAAATTAACAAATAAATAAGTAAAGGATGCATAAAATATATATAAAATATAGGCTTATTAGATAGCATGAGTGAGAGAGAGGCAAAGAGATGCTGTGAAGTAAACAAAAATAAATACAGCAGAGATAGAGATCGCAACAAAGTTCAGGCTTTGGATGAAAGAGAGGGGAACTCATAAGTAAGCTAAATAAAGAGAAGAAACCACTGGCTCATAGAGATTTGAAAATAAAACACTGATCATGGCAAAATGATATGCTGCCCTTATGAAAGGGAGGAGGCTCGGTGAGCGGTGACGAGGCTCACGGAGGAAAGAGACGGTGCCATCATGGCCAAGGTGCGGTCTATCAGAGATTCAGAGAAAACTTGCAGTGGCCTTGTGGTTCGCTCTCTTTCTTCTTTATTCTCGCTTTGTGTTTTGACTGAGTGAGAGGAGAGTGAGAGTTCGCAGAAGCCAAGATATCCAGACACCCACAAGTAGATGTAGATGTGGATGGCAGCATATTGGTATATTAATTGGCCTAGAAAAGTAGGGATGCTTCCCACCAATTTATTATGAGATACAGCAAGTAGCTCGAGAGACGAAAGGTTTCCCAAGGAAGGAGGGATCTCTCCAGTTAAATTATTACCTTCTAAAACAAGTATTCGAAGATTTGGAAAGGAACCAATTTCGGATGGAATTTTACCCACCAGCTTGTTGAAAGCCAAATGCATTGAGGTGAGGCTTAAGCAATATGATATGTTGTGTTGAAAAGTAATGCACACTTAAATCTAGAATAATCTAGAAAAATTGAGAGAAAAAGACAAGTCAAATTTGAGCTATACACTAGAAACATCCTATTAATTATATAATGTATTGTAACTAGACAATTCTAGATTTATATTATAACTAGTGGCTGGAAAACACTTTGGAAAGTCGGTTACTATGCAATAACCGACTTGACTAGATATTTGCCAACCTTGAGAGTCGGTTTAGCTACTCTCTATATATAGCTAGCAGCCCAATTCTGTTTTTAAGTAAGAAAAGCTACAGCTGACAATTCTAGCCATCATCCAACTCTAGTGTTAAAGCCTTTGTACCTTTTCTATTTCAATAAAATAAAACTATTTTGTTACTCTTTTAAAAAGTTTTCCTTTCCAAATTAAGCTATTGTCTTAAACACTACCAATCATTCTCTAAACCTCCTTTCTTAAACTAACATGTTGTATGGAATAGGGCCACTAAATGAGTTACTGTGTAAAGACAGTACCTTCAATCTATGCAAACGCCCAATTTGTGGAGGGATTTCATTGCTGAAGCTATGGTTTTGTAACTGTAGCTCCCTTAGGAAACTTAGATTTCCTATGTGCGGGGATAGGGACCCGGCCAGCTCTTGCGAGTGGAGGTCCAGCTTTGCAACTCGTTGGCTTTGTCGTCGACTGCAGGTGACGCCATGCCACAGGCAAAAATGAGTAGATTCATTCCAGGAGCTCGTTACATTATGAGGATCTTGCTTTATTTGAGCTTTGATGGCTAGCAGGGCCAGCCTATCAATCTCATTCCCTCCCAGCTCCAAATGCTTGGAGCAAACCAACAATACTCCATTGAAAAGTGAGTATATGAAAATTAGTTTCATTACCAAAACCCCCATTTTGAATTTGTTTATCAACTACATACAGAGCAAGGTTATATATGGGTTTTGGGTTGTGAAATTGGTAATTCCCATTTGAGGGGATGCCAAATTTATAACTAGTTTATGACATTGAGTCAGAGCTTAACCAAGTCCAAGACATTACGATCAGCCACGGCTGACTAGCTTTTCTGATGACGACGACAACTTGACTTGCTTCCATTTACCAAAAACAACACTTTTGCTTCCACTGACTTGCAAAGAATTAGCCATATGTGATGCAGCCATTGGATGGAAGCTGGTGAGGGGCTTCACTCTTAACTAGGATTTACAAGAGAAGAAACAACACAATCACGACAAAGTGTGCCGCCCTGAGTCAACCCACAAGGTAGGAATTAGGATTTACAAGAGGACAACACAAGGTAATTCAAGGATAGCCAAACTAACAAGGATGGACCCAACAACAGCCTTGGTCCTTATTTTTTTGGGAGTTTCACTAAAACACCAAAAATGGGGGCTGAAATTATAAAAAAACCCAACACCCAAAACACTTTATAAACACACCCAAAACCCATCATTACACACACTCAAAATCCATTTATAAACACACCCAAAAAATATACAATTATTGATTTTGGGGTTAATTTTGGGTGTGTTTCTATGTTTAAATAGTATGTGGGTTTTTTTATAAATACATGTCTAGAATTGGGTTTATTTATAATAATCTATATTTTTTTAGTCAAACTGCCTTGGCCGTTATAACCATTCACAATTCCATTGGCAACATGGTCATGACAAAACGAACTTGATTCAAGTCCAAACATGGTCATGACAAGAGATTGAAACGACATGTAGTAGCTAGCTTGATAACTTTGATCACATTTCTAGGGCTGCAAGCGCAAACACACCAATAAAACGACATGATGCTGCAACAAGAGTATTTCTCAGGCAGCACATAAAAGTTTCCCTATCCAAGAAGAACGTCTCTAATGAAACGCAGTTCAGATGCAGCATCACTGATATTCTTCAGACGGTCCGTTGGAGATTCAGCAGAACATTCAATTCCAATTCTAAATATTGAATTTAAGCACACCTCAATCTTTTGAACCCTTCTCTCGTTAATGCCTCCTTCAAAAAGTGTTGAATCTGCAATCTCCATAACTCCCTCAGGGAAAGCCATTTTAATGAAAGTATGAAGGTTTAGGTCCCCATTAAACATGTCGTCGGTGGGTCGCTTTCCTGCGAACATCTCTAACAGAAGAATACCAAAGCTGTAGACATCTCCATTTGTTGACACCTCACTTCCCATACCGTACTCTACCATTGAAACATCATAAGATATTATCAGCACAATTGTTAGTAAAATAGCTAAACTTTGTAAGATTTAAAAAGAAAAAAAGGAAACAATTTACCTGGAGCAGCATAACCAACTGTTCCTTTTATTCCAATGGACCTTGTTTGATTTTCTGAAGCATTAGTACCAGTTTTTTGGGAGAGAAATCTTGCGAGTCCAAAGTCAGAAACATGTCCAGTCATCTCGTTATCCAAAAGAACATTGCTTGGCTTGAGATCACAATGAACTATTGGTGTTTCGCAATGATTATGAAGATAATCCAATGTACAAGCAACATCAATGGCAATGTCTAGTCTTTGCTCTAGATTGAGTGCCTCCCTTACCTCTTCAATTTCAGTAGGAGGATGCAGCCACTCCTCTAAGCTTCCTCTGTCCATGAACTCGTAAACCAGAGCCTTGAAATCATGACCATGAAAATCAACACTTGAACATGCAGTTATAATCTTGACAAGATTTCTATGCTTGATGTTTCTTAAAGCCTCACATTCGGATATGAAACTCTTCGATGCTCCATGCCGCAACAAGTTGAACACCTTCACAGCAACAAGCTGGGCTTTACCATCATCATAAAGAACTCCTCTGTACACAGACCCAAAACTGCCTGCACCAATCCCATTAGCGGAAGAGAACTCATCAGTAGCTTTTAGGAGAGTAGCATATGACACTCGCACAACAGAGTTCGGCAATGTGCTCAATGGAATTTCTTTCCTTTTCTTTCTCGACGAACAAAGAAAGAAATAGTAACACTCCATAGCAATTCCTAGAAGAGCAAGTCCAGAGAGTACTAAACGGATTATCAAGCTACGAGATGATCCTCCCTTTGGGGACTCGCACTTGGGCAGTTGGAGATTAGCAATTTCGCCGCAGAGCATGGCGTTGCCAGTAATTAAAATCACACTTGCATTTTTAAAAGCACCTCCAGTTGGTACTGCTCCCCAAAATTCATTGAAAGATAAGTCTAGTTTCTTCAATAAGACAAAACGCTCTAGAAATTTTGGAATTTCACCCGACAAATTGTTGCGAGAAAGGTCTAATTCTTCTATGGCTTTCAACCCAATCATAGATGAGGGAATAGGGCCACTAAATGAGTTCTTGTGTAGAGATAGTACCTGCAATCTACCCAAATTCCCAATTTCTGGAGGGATTTTAATGCTGAAGCTGTTGTTTTGTAGTTCTAGTTCCCTTAGGAAACTTAGATTTCCTATGTTTGGAGATAGGGACCCTACCAGGTTTTGAGATTGCAGGTCCAGCTTTGTGACCCTCTGCCTCTGGTGATGGTATCGACCACAGGAGACACCGTGCCACGTGCAAAAGTGAATGGATTCATTCCAGGAGCTCAATACATTATGAGGATCTGGCTTTATTTGAGCTTTGATGGCTAGCAGTGCAAGCCTATCCGTCTCGTTGCCTCCCATTCTCAAATGCATGGAGCAAACGAATAATGCACCATTCACAAGTGAGTATATTAATAAAATCCGTTTCATAACCAAAACCCCCATTTTGAGTTTGAGTTTGAGTTTGATTATGAAGGCATGGCAAGCTGGTTTATAATTAAGATTGAGTAATGCGCTTAACCAAGTCCCAGTCATTACGGTCAGCCACGGTTGACTTGCTTTCCAAAGACACAAAACTTTGACTTGCTTCCATTAGTCACTTGCAAAGAATTAGCCATGCATCACGCAGAAGCTGTCATTGGATTGGAAGCTGATGGAAAATGCCAAATTAGTCCTTGTTGACTTACTTTTCCAAATTGAGACGACTTCATTTCCTTGGAATACTGTTCTCGCATCCACTGTTTGTCGTACTTGTATTGGTTGTTAAAATGACAATTACAAAATTGACCCCAGGAAGCTGAATGGAAACAGCCCCAGCAACAACACATTTCCACCAACGTGTGGTGGAAGAAATACGTTGATAAAGGCCAGTGGTTAATTTCTTCTGGCACTAATCATACGAAACTTGTATTGTATACCCTTATCTTGCAGGCCAGTGGTTTGCTTTCTTGAATTCAATTCAGTGGATTGTTATTAAACGAAAACATATAAGACTTGTACACCATGGACTTTATGAAACATGTGGATATGACATAAGGTACATATTTGATTTTTGTAGTGAAAATTTTGGACTGGGTCGGCTGTGTATTTTTTAAATTTTTAATAAAACATTTAACCCGATTGCTAAATTTCTAAATCCATAACCAATCTTTTCCTAAGCCCAATTTCAAATCACCTCTATTTTCTAGGCCCAATCACCTCCTTCTGTATGAAATTGGGCAATTTGTGAATTTTTAAGCCCTAAAAATAAAATTTTTGTTGAGTTTTGTAAAACAAATTTCAAAACAAAAAAAAAACTCATAAAAAAAATTTATAAGCCCTGAAAAAAACTTTAAGCCCAACTCCAAAATCGAAAACCGAACTGACTTATGGACAAACTAGATCACACTGGATTGTATAAATATTTAATGCCTAGTACTGTCTTTTCCAAAGACAATTTGACT